AGACCTATTCCTGATTAAAAACTGTAGCCGAATGGGAAAAGACTGAATTCAAGCTAATAAAGAGCATATTTTATTAAAACAAGATCTGTAGTTACTGTCACACTTAACAGAATGGACTGCTTCTCCTAAGATGAGGACAAGGCTTAGGCTGCCAATATTCTCTTATCTGTGTCTCCTCAGCATCATGCAGTAAGTGAGGAAAATAGAACAAAGGGCACCATAAGTCTCCAGGGAAGAGACACGAGGCTTTGTGTAGACAAATGCTATGACTGTTTATGGCGACAATCTAATGGAGTCCATAAAGAATTTCTAGAACAAGTAAATTTAACGAAGTTTGGAGAATATAAACTTGATATGCAAACACCAATTGTATTTCTGTATACTAACCACAAAAAGATGGAAATTGGATTTTTACAGGTGTATCATTTTAATGGCATTAAGATATATGAACTATGTCTGGATAAATGTTGCCAAAGGGGAAAGCCTGTGGAGTAGAAACGACAAAACACTGGATTTAAAGAAGATATCTGTGGAGAGTCGTACCTCTTTTTCATCCTTCTGAAGACTCGTTGTGCACGTGTTATTTCTTTCCAAAGGGACTTACAAAAATCCCAGCAATAATCTACTTAGGTATCGCCTGGACTCCATGAAACACACGCCTGTGTAGGAGAACGGCCTGTGACACACAAGCTTGGGAGAGGTGGCCGTGTGCAATCCTGTAAAGGTCCCGAGACTCCGGCCACCCATGTGCTTTTCCCTTCTTCCTTCTACCCCCAGGAATGCTTCCCCAGATTAGTAAACTGTCTCTGTCTCTCTTTATTTCTTTAAATGACAGTGAATGATTTTGTTCACACCCACTGTCTGGTAGTAACTGATCCCGTTGCTTTTCTAGTATCCAAAGATCTTCTAATATATAATTTTAAAAAGGCTTAATTATTTTACATGTGTGGGTGTTTTGCCTGCATGTATATCTGTGCAGCAATGCGCATTCTCTTCTGAAAGCCAGAAGAAAGTATTAGGTCCACAGGGACTGCTATTAGCTACCACGTTGGTGCTGAGAGCCCAACCCAGCTCCTCTGGAAGAACACCAAGCCCTGTTAACCACTGAACCACTGAGTATCTCTCCGGCCAGCCCCTCTAGTTCTTTTTCTGACATAGTTTCTCTGTGTAGCTCTGGCTGTCTCCGCACTCACTATGGAGACCAGGTTGGATTCAGATTAAGAGATCTGCCTGCCTCTGCCTCCTGAGCACTGGGATTAAAGGTGTGCACCACCACACCCAGCCCCCACTTGTAGTTCCTAAAGAAACAAAAAAATGGGCTTTTTATTAAAGGTCATAAGTTAATTTTGAATTTCACATGGAAATACAAAAACAAAGAAAAAAAAACAAAAGAAACGAATAACAAAAAACAAATTCCAGAACAAATTGGAAAAGAACAAAGTTGGGGGCAAGAGCACCTGCCTTGAAGACTTTCAAAGCTGCAGAATCTGAAACCGCACTATTAACATTAAAGAGATCTATTGATCCGAGGAACACATAGAGAGCTAGGCTGCACACACATGGGAAACCGGCTTTTGACAGAAGAACAAAGCAATGCAGTAGAGATAAACTGTCATGCCCAGAGACAACGCAAGGATGCTGGAGCATCCACAAGCAAATGATAATACAACTGTGTTCTTGGTCCACAGTGACCTAATAGGAATCACAGATTGAACGGAATGCGGAATGCTCTTAGTAGCTCCATGTAAGGAGAAAGCAAAAAAAAAAGCTGATTTTATATTGACATTATGCAATTTTAGTTAATAATAAAATGATGAACGATTAGCATATGCAACTGCCTGATTGAATCTCAAAATGACTCCAGTGCGAAGAAAAATGCTAACCGGAAAATAAAAAAGACCAAAGTGTGACCTCTTTTATAGAAAATTGTACCAAAAATAAAGTAACCTATAGTTATAACAACAAAGAGATAAGCAGAAGGAGGTGGAGGAGGGGCAGACTATAGAAGAGGCACGAGTCTGTGGGCGGACACACGTCGTCACTATCTTGACTGTGATGATGGCTTCAGGGATGTATGCAGGTCAAAATGCCTCAAATTCTGTTCTTCAGTACATGTATTTATTTCTCTGTGTGTGTTGATGTGTGTGAGAACATGTGTGCCATAGCACACGTGTGAGGTCAGAGATTAACTGGTGGGAGCCAGTTAGCTCTCTTCTCACACCATGTAGGTTCCAGGGATTGAACTCATTGAAGTCATCAGGCTGGGTGACAAGTGCCTTTATCTACTCAGCCATCCTGCCTGCCTGTCAAATTCCATCCTTTAGGTATTCACTATTTACTACAGTGCCATAGCTACTCTTCTGTTGTTGTGGGACGGCATCATGGCCAAGGCAACAAGGAAGAGATCTGAGGCTTGTTCACAGGTTCAGAGGGTGGGAGGGGGTGGACGACAAGCAGACACGGCTTGAACAGCACCCGAGAGTTCTCAGCTGCTCCACAAGCACCAGGCAGGGAGAATGACTCCGAGACTGACATGAACTTCAGGAACCTCAAAGCTAACCCCAATGACTCTCCTCCTCCCACAAGACCACACCCCCCATCCTTCCTAAAAGAGTTCCACTAACAAGGAACCAAATTCAAATATATGAACCCATGGGGGCCATTCTCGTCCAAACACCACATGTAGAATATAATATTTAAAAGAAAATAATAGCTTTATATCTCGTGTGTGTGTGTGTGTGTTTGCTTAGCCAATGTGCTGTCTAAACATCTGACAGAATCACCTTTCTCTGTGCAATTATTTTAATAAATATAAATGGAATTAATCATTTATAAACCAGCAAATTGAAACTCACCCTTAATCTTTTTTCAGTGATTATGAGTGATATGAAAATAAATATTATAGGACTAGTGAGACCCGTTAAGGACCAGCCTGGACAAAATCACCTCTTACCAGGGTAGGGGCATAGGCATTTAAAAATATAAGAATACAGAGACGACGTGAAGAAAACAGAACAGAAACCACAGAATAATACTGGGCAAGCATTCCAGTGATAACTGAAAATCACCTGTGTTTACTTTTTCACTGCTTTTATATCCAGTTCCTTCCTTTCTTCTTGCTTTAATTCCTTCCTTTTTCCTCTCTTCCTTCCTTTCTTCCATCCTCCTTTGCTTCTTATTTCCCCTATTTAAACACCCATTTTCCTTTATTCTCCCCTGCCTTGTAAATTCTATGTAGGTCGAGCTTCCCCTCCCTAGGAGATGGGGCAGGCCGCCCTCCCTGTACAGACCAATCTGACGTTATCCCAGCCAGACTGGTCTGCTCCTCACAGCTGTACGACAACAAGCCAATTACCTGCACTCGCACAGCCTCAGTTTCTTCACCTGTGAAATGGAAGACTTGATACTCAGTTCAAATAAAATAGAAGAAAATTAAAAATAAAAGAGTATGGAAGTGTAATGAGTCCAGCGATTGCCCCCATAGCGAGTCCTGGAAGCATTAGTTTCTGTGCTGGCTGCTTTTATGTCAACTTGACACAAGCTATAGTCACCTGAGAGGAGGGAGCCTCAATTGAGAAAATGACTCTGGAAGATCAGGCAAATGTTGAGGGCATTGTCTTAATTAGTGATTGATAGGGGAAGGCCCAGTTCATGGTGGACAGTATCATTCCTGGGCTGCTGGTCCTGCATTCTCTAAGAAGGAAGGTGGAGCAAGCCAGTAAGCAGCACCAATCCATAGCCTCTGCCTCAGCTCCTGCCTCCAGGTTCCTGCCCTGCTTGAGTTCCTGTCCTGACTGCCATAGATGATGAACTAACTATACTAAGCAAGAGGAAGTGAAGTAAAGTAAACAAGCCCTTTCCTCCCTGAGTTGTTTTTGGTCATGGTACTCATCACAGCAGTAATTCTAATTGGACAGCCTCTCCCTCTTTCCTGTATTCTCAACAACAAGGGAGCTTATCTGCTTGAGTGTGAAACCAGAGTCTCTTCCATGGAGCCGTCTCTGTGTGGGCAGCCAGCTACAGCTCTGTAGCAATTCTTGGCTTCTGTAAGTGAAACGGGACCTCTGAGAAAACTGGTGGTTACACGTGGTGGGAGACAGGCGCAAGACTTCCCCAGCCGGGCTCAAATCCCAGTTCTACCGGTACTAGCCATGTGACCTTAAGCAATGTACTTAACCTCTCTGACCTCAGTTTGTCCACCTGTGAAATGGGAGGAGTAAAATTGCCATCTTCCTAGAGTTGCTCAAAGGAATAAACCTGCAGTACCTTTGAAAAGGCCGGGCACAGAGTGACTCCCCAATACTATTTAATACGGAGTTACTGAGCTCTGCTCCGGGCCCAGGCTAGTTATGAGAATGCTGGTAACAGATGTTTGCTGATCCAATAACCTTCAGACCCATCTAAGAAGATAGGAACTCCAGAGGGAGGGGTGTTTCCAAGGAGAAGCGCCACGTGTCGGGGAGTGAATGGCAGCCCCAGTCTAGGCTGGCACCCTCCCCAAGGAAGTGACATTTGTCAAAAACAGGGAACAGAGTCACGCTAGTGGAGCCTTGGGGCTTGTCAGCCTACTGCTGCTCTCTCTGTTCTTGATTCTGTTCGGAAGTTTCCAGATGCTGGTGAGGTGGAAAGGCTCCCAAGGAGCCCCTGACATTCAGAGCTCTGGGAAAAGGAGGGCTTCGACAGCTCCCAACCCTGGGTGGCAAAGTCCCCCGCAACACCGAGATCTGGACACCAGTGTCCGCTCTCCCCTAGGGCGGCAGTGAGCTGCCCCAGGACGCGCCTAAGGCAAACACAAAGAAAGATGCCATGTTCGGCTTTGTCCACTGGGTGGAGTATTTTAGTCAAAGAAGAGCGCTGTGGAGGCAGTGGGAATTCCCCGTGGAGAGAGGCAAGCTTGGGCTTGTCCTGGGTCCAGAGCCCTCTAAAACCCCCTCCAGAAGGAATGCAGGCCGCCCCTCCTAAAGTCTAGCCCCGGAGAAGCCCGAGGCCTGTCCTACATCCAGGAACTCTCAGAACTAAGAGGAAAACTTTAGAGCCAGAAGAGGGCCACGGGAGAGCTATGTCTGATGTTAATTTTCACAACTTGGAAACTGAGAGCCAAGGAGGGGAAAGGGGAGCTGACCTATGCCTTTGCATGTAGGTGTGACTTTTAAATGTAGATGACAACGTCTGTGTTTGAAAGGATAAAACAGTCTGTAAGGTTGACTGTTGACACGGGGTGTGTGTGGGGGGGCACTTGAGCTGGAGAGAGGCTGCAGGTGGAGAGTGAGGCTGGCCCCTGGGCCCCCTGCGCTCTTTTTTCCAGACTTCAGCCCCACTCCTCCTCAAACACACATATACACTTCAGCTATCTGCTCTGGCAGCGACTACGCACACTGTGTAACTGCCCTTGAGGGAATGGAGAGATTCCAGAGAGACACCCCTGTGCCTTCCTTCCTCTGCCTACCAGACTATTGAGACACTGGACCCCAAGTCATTGGAATTTCCATAGCAATCTCAGACCCTCTTACTTCTCTTCTGGGGGGTTGGGCAGAGGGCACGGTTAAAGCCCCGATGTTACCTGAGGGGTAACTTGTCTCCCAGGAAGATTTCCCACCACGCTGACGAGATCACTTGTCAGGAGAGACAGGAGACAAGCGCTGCTGGATCCATCTGTCCACGGTGAACTGGACCGCCCTTTGATCACGCACAGCTCTTGACCTCCCTTTAACCCCACAGGTGAGAACCCCAAAGATGCACGAGGGAGTTCCCAGACCCTCTTACTTCTCTTCTGGCATGGCCACATTGAGTTAACCTTTCTCCACTTTTCACTAATGTCTCTTAACCGGCCTGCTGAGGGCAAGTGACCAGCCATAGGCCTCTGGGGCTGCCTGGGCACAGACTCTGGCCCTCACTCTGGTTAAAAAAAAAGGGGGGGGACTTTCTTTCTTTCTTTTTCTTTCTTCCTTCCTTCTTTTTTTCTTTCTTGCCATAAAAACTGTANTGAGAGAGAGAGGGTCTTTTTCTGTCCCCCTGGCCTGGAACTCATTGTGTAGACCAAGATGGTCTTGAAACTGCAGCAATCCTGCCTCTGCCTCCCCCCAGTTTTTTTCTTCCAACAACTAGCATGTTGTCATTGTCTCTTCTTTTGTCTTAACTGTTCTTGAGAGCATATTTCCCTATGTAATATATTGTATGATATAAGTGCACATGCATATTCTCTCTCTCTCTCTCTCTCTCTCCAAAGATGTAAATTCGTGAATTCAGGTTTATAGTGTTTCTACACCCTGTACCCAAAAACATGGCATGTAGGAGATGCTCTGGAAAAATCTGTGTGATTGACCAGTAAAGAACACACCATGGCTTCGAGTCCCAGTTTACTTGAGAACTGAATTACTGTACAGATTAGCCTGAACCACGCTCTTGAGATCATCTGCCACCTTTCAAGGAACAAGTGGAAAGGGGTGAGGTCAGGGGATCCTAGATGTGCTGGCTCACAGAGACAGGTAGAAATTGCGAGAAAGCCAAGGGCTGTAGACTATCCCTTTACACTCTGTGAATATATGTCATGGTGTTTGGGTTAATAAAGAAGCTGACTGGCCAATAGCTGGACAGGATAACATGAGGCGGAACTTGCAGACAAAAAGAGAGTACAAGGAAGAAGAGAAGGAGTCTGAGACTTATGAGAAGACTCAGATAGGAGAACTTGCCATACTGAGAAAAGGTGCTGAGCCATATGGCAGAGCATAGGTAAGAAATATGGGTTAATTTAAAAATTAAGCATTAGCTGGTAATAAACCTGGGCTATTGGCTGAGCATTTATAATTAAGTCTCTGTGTCTCTTTGGAAACTGTCTGGCGGGACAGAAAAATCCACTTACAAAGGGCTTGTATCACACTATGACAAGGAACATTTATCTGTATTTGTTTGTTTTCTACTTCTTGTTCAAACACAAATGCAGTGAAACTGAAAAATGTCCATTAATTGTATATACAACCCATCGGTTACAGCAGATCCACACAGACCTGGAAGTGTGGGCCACACTGGTTTGATCAGGACTGAGACAGCTGACCTGAGGCACACAGGTGGATGCAGCACCACGTTCATAAAAACCCATAGGTCTGGTGGGGAATGAAACCAGAGGCGACCCCAGGAAAACAAAGGCTGGGGAGAGACAGCTGCCACAGCAAACTGCCAGCCAGGAAAACATGCTGCTCCCTAATTGGTGGGCACAAGTTTGCCTTCCCCATTTCCACCCACTAGTGGGTACACACGGACCCTCAGCATCACAGGTATGTCAGAAACTGCATGCTCGGGTGGGCTGGCAGGTCCCACACAGAGTCCCCTGTTGACAGGACCTTCTTACTGGAGCCACCAACCGGAAGCCAGACTTGAAGTCTAAAGTCAATTTAAAAAACAAAACAATTCTCTCTCTGCCCTTGTAGTTCTGTTATTGCATGTCTGTAGTGGACTTGGCAGAAATGAAAACATTCTAGAGAAATTCTGTGGCTCTCCATCTGTGAAACAGTGCTCCCCCCCCCCCAAAAAAATGGGAATTTCCCCAGGAATTTTCTGCTAGGAAGGAAGGGCAACAGCCTGAGAGGCAGCTCGCCTCCCGCAGATTTTCACACAGTTCCCCTGCACACATACACACGTGCATGCACACATGCCAACATTACCTTTCTCATTCAGATTGTTCTATCTTTTCAAACACATACATTCTCACCTCCATTTAAAGGTCACGCCTTTAAATGGAGATACCCTGGGGCTGCTTAGATGGTATATCCTTGGCTCTTGGGTCCCCTTTTAAGTTTCAGGCTCACCTCAGAACCCTAAAGACAGACTTGAAGAGGTCAGTGCACCTCGTTGTCCCTTTTCCCAATGTGCATGAATTGAATAGATGTTTCCTGCTCTGTTAATTTGACGCTTTTAATTGTTTTATTGAGATGGATGCTGGTCTGACTTGGGACACGGCTTACTACGCCCAAGTTTGATAACAAGTCAATGCAAAATGCAAAGACTCTGATGTTAAATGTTTCAAAGTGACAGGGGTAGAAATGAAAACGAGGGGAAAGAAAAGAAAAAGTTACTTACTGAGAAAAGTAGAGCGACTTCTAAATAAAGGTAACCCAGGGAGATTTAGACAGCTGGGAACAGTTTGCAACGCTGACCTCAAAAAGACAAGGAAGGAAGAATCTTTTCTAAGGAAGGAGGAATCTCGCAGGCTTGCCAAGGACTGTTGTTGACAACGCTCCCTTTAAACAGCACAGAGACAATGCCCCGGGAAGGACTGAGCTCCTAGGAAGGACAATAAGTCAGGGTTATCCGTGCTGAGCTCCCCCAAAGTCCTGGTCTCCTGGACATGAAAGTGAGGCTCATCAGAGCTTCTGAGGCAGCAGAAGGCCTCAGTACAGTCAGCACTGGGATTAGCTTTGTCTTCCAGCCGCTGGGAAAGGTGCCGGTGACTGGCTTTCTAGCGCAAAGAAGATAAACATTGGCCAGACTCCTAAGCACCATTATCCCCTCTGAAGAGCATAACAGAACCATTATCTGACCAGAAAAAAGCACCAAAGAGCCACCTAAAGGGGTACGGGTAGGGAAACTGCTGAACGAGAAGCCACACAGCCCAGAGCCCTGACTTCCACAATGTGGAGTCTTTGACAGCTCTGATCCCAGACCCACCTTCCACGTTCCAGCGCTCAACCCCAATCAGCTCAAGAGCAGGGATCAGGCCTGCACAGTGGCCAGCGTGAGAACGGACCAGATAAGCTTCACAAACAGTATTAGAAGTAGAGAAATTATTGTAATAAACCACGTTCCACCCACTCCAGTGAGAAGGAATCACATACAATGGCTGTTTTTCACCAGGCTCTTCCGTCTGTGTTCTGAACCCTACAGTTGCAGTCTTCCCCATTTTAAACAGCGGGGATCTGAGCCTCGGGGAGGATGCATGAAGCTCTGGAGTCCACCAGCCACTAAGAAGGCAGAGTGGAGATTTCGACTCTGATCTGTCCCAACTTGGATAAACTCCCGGAACAGCCTGTCGCTGATGAAAAACAGGGCAAAGCCATGCCTTAAAAGTTAATGAAGGTGGAGATGTGGAGGGGGTGAGGTGGAGGGGTCGGTGAGGGAGGGGAGAGGGAAAGGGAAAGGGAAAGAAAATGGCAGGACCTTGGCAGAAAAACCCATGAATGTTCCCGTGGAGACCAAAAACTTTTTAAAAGTGACTTTAAAATAATTACCAGTTCTCTTGCCTCTGGCAGCCCCCAGCCATGGGACCTGGAAAGGAAAAACGAACTGGTCTTTTGTGTCTTGGGTTAGTAGGAAAGCATGTTTCTATGTCCCTGACTGGCAAGGACATGTGGACATGGTGTTGCCAGGACTGAGATTCCAAGAGGACCTAGAAAGGTACGTGTGTGCGTGTGCGTGTGGTGTGTGTGCGTGCGCACATGTGTGTGTGTGCATGTGCATGCATGTGTGCATGTGTGTGTGTGTGTGTGTGTGTGTGTGTGTGTGTGTGTGTGCTCTCTCAGTGAGACAGTGCAGGCTGCGTGGTTGCCCTGGAACTGAGCATCTCTAAAAGTTGCATTTTTAATGTCCTAACTTCTCGATGTTCTTATTGGCACCATCTCTTGCTTTCTCTTCTCATCCTCCCACCCACCCCCATGAGCTTCCTTCTCTTCTTTGGCCTTTGCCCCCCCCCTTATTTCATTGGCATTCAGTATCTTTATTCTTGCCCCCCCCCACCTGCTGCCCCTCCACCACTGAACACTGTAACGCTGTATGGACAAATCCCTCAACAGTGTCATATCTGACTTATTTTATTATTATTCATTGCATGATTTATTTTTAGCCTGAAACAACTGCATCCTAAAAATGGAGTTCTTAATGAGACAGAGGCTGGGAGAGCTATGCAAGGTATCTAGGGCTTGGCCTCCCAGCCTCCTGCCAGGCTCTTTCTCTTTGCGCATGTGTGCGTTAAGCCTCCACAGTCTGTCCTGAGCCCAAGACTACACAGCTGCAGGACCCAAGGAGGTGAGATCAGCCTCTTTGCTCTGTGCTGGGCTCAACAAAACCTCCAGGAGGCTTCCATCCCATCTCCCATTATTTTGAGTCTCGGGAGAGAGAAACAAGCCTTTTCCCCAATGAAGAGAACTCTCCTGCTCCTGGTGGGGGTTTATCTGCTGTACTTCAGCAGGGCAGAAGAGGGGCTGAACTTCCCCACGTACGATGGGAAGGACCGAGTGGTCAGCCTTTCCGAGAAGAGCTTCAAGCAGATGTTAAAGAAGTACGAGGTGCTGTGCCTCTATTACCACGAGCCGGTGTCGTCAGACAAGGTGGCACAGAAGCAGTTCCAGCTGAAGGAGATAGTCCTGGAGGTGAGTGAGTGGGCCAGCGGCCACCTGTCTGAGTGAGCACGAGAGCCCGTGTGGCATTTCACAGGGATGTGGGAACAAGGGCATGGAGAATACGTCCAGAGGTCTCGTGTGGAGTAAGTAGTCTCACGTAGAAGAAGAGGTTTGTTTTGCGTTTTGTTTTGTTCCATTCTTTCTGCAGAAGTGGACAGACTCTTAAGGTGGAAGGGAGTGAGGGGCTGCACACTGACTCCCCTTTATCCAGGGAGCTGGGTGAGCATTGCTGAGGACAAAGAGCAGGGGCTCGTTCATGCAGACTTGCAGAATCAGAGCAGGGCAGCAAGATGGGAGGCCCAGAGGCCACGCTCCAGGCAACTGAGTTAAAGGTCTTTCTTCACGTGTCCTGATGTGTCAGGGGCTCGAGTCTCACCTGACCATTTTCAAAATGTCCCAGCTGTTGTTAGCCCTTGGCTTAAGGGAACTGAGGGATTTCTTGTGAATTCATTCAGTGCCAAGTCCCCGTGCTTTTCCCCACACTCTGCCCTGGATCCTAGAGAAGCCAGGTCCTTTGACCTTGCCCAGGGGGAGAGCAGCTAGGTGGACTCTAGAGTGTGGATGTGTGGCTTTCTGGGCTGCGCATTCATCAACAGGCAGTTTTGTTTTCTTTTCTCAGAAAGTTCTTGATGTGAGTTTGGGGCCCCCGCTGAAGTCATTTCTTATTTTATCTGTATTCCATGACCTACTGGTCACCTGGCACGGGGCCGGTGGCATTTCTAATCCTTTGCCATTGCCTCGGCCTCTCCTCCTGGACAGCTAAAGGGCACCGACACTTCAAGAATACCCATGCTGCCGAGAGTCCTTCTTAGTCCCCGAAGCCAGCTCCACACACGGCTACGGGAAGGACTGCTTGAGAATTAACCAGGCAGTAGTTTCGGGATACTCAGGCTAATCAAACAATACGATTAACAAATTCACCACATAAAAACCAGGGAGATTGAAAGTCTCAGAAAAAAAAATGACTATAATAAAATCCAGCAAAGCCACACAAATATATCAAAATAACATTAAACGACGGAGAAAGCATTTGAGAGTTGGAAGAGCCTCCTGATCAGCGGAGAGTGCTAGTGCTTTAACAAACCTCCACAGCCATCACGGTCTTCCCAGGCACCACCCACCCTGGGCCGAGGGTGGCGGCTCTGTCCCTCTGTAGAACTGGGGAATGTCACAGGCTGGAAGAAGAACAGTCCCAGAGTGCACCTGCTGCTTAGCCGGTGAAATGGATGCATTACAACTGTCCTTCTCAGCTACAACAGCGAAGTCACACAGAGTCGATTCGGCAAGCTCACACCTGACTAGTTAAAGCCAGACTCAGAAGAACCCCTCCATGGCCAGGGCACAGTGACGACCAGTTTTAAATACCTGCCTTATTAAATAGCACATTTTGACACATTACTGCAAGTATGTCCCGTGTGTATACTTGGTTCTGGGGTCCCAAGGAAAAATCCTAAGAAGGAACGGCCTTGGGGTCCCGTCATTCCAGATACCTTTCCTGTGAGGGTGCTGAGTAGCGGAGGTTGGTAAAGGGAAGCTGAGCATGGGCTCTAGCCTGATGTTTCTCAGGGAAAACTAGAAGAAAGGGAAGATGGGAATGGTTGCCAGGAATTCGGTGGTGTAAGTTCTAGCTTTGCCCACTGCGCATGCGAGCCGGGGCTGATAACTATTTCTCGGAGCTTCAGTTTCTCGTTTATACAAATGTGAAGATAAAGAAACCCTTGGGGTGTGGGAGAGCCAATAAGGACGATGGCTAATGGAACACTTGCTGGGTGGGGGGACTGCTGAGAGCCCTTTGTGTGTGTTAGCTGACTTAGTCCTCAGTCACAGTGTGAAGCCAGTACGGGCACTCTTTCCAGCCTGCACCCAGGAGGAGACCCCCAAAGGCCAAGTTGCCCACTGGCACTTGCTCATTTGTGTGAGGCAGTCTGAGCTCCCACAGCCCCCACGGCGTCCTCCTGGCATCAGGTGGGCGTGAAGGATGCCGCTGGCTGCCCTGTGCAGGATCCTGTCAAGCACCTTCCCAGAACAGAGTTACCAGTCCCAGGCCTGGCCTGAGGGTCCCAGCTGAGTGACACCTGGGCTGAGAAGTGCTGAGCCCAGGGGGCAAGTCTCAGAAGTGGCAAGAGGCCAGGCTACAGCTCCTGAGTCTGTCTATTAGAATGTGTGTTTGATGCAGGCCCGGGCTCTCCTTTGCACTTGGCAATTCACGGGCCTTGCCTCCTGAGTGCTGGGGTCACAGATATGTGACATCTTCATAGTACGATTCTCCTGATAGGTATCTTCTTGCCTATGGTAAAGTTTAATTTAGAAGTTAGGCGCACGGAAAGATGACTACAACTAAGAAAAAAATAGTCCAGTTCCAGCAATGCTGTGAGTGTGCACTCCCATACTGCCCTTGCACACTCATAGTCCAGTTCCAGAAATGCTGTGTGTGCACTACCACACTTCACTGTGCACACCCACAGTAGAGTTCCAGCAATGCTGTGAGTGTGCACTACCATACTGCCCTTGCACACCCATAGTCCAGTTCCAGCAATTCTGTGAGTGTGCACTACCATACTGTACTGTGCACACCCATAGTCCAGTTCCAGCAATGCTGTGTGTGTACACTACCATACTTCACTGTGCACACCCACAGTACAGTTCCAGCAATGCCGTGTGTGTGCACTACCACACTACGCTGTGCACACCCCTTTCCTTGTTCCTTAATTGTTGAGAACTTGCAGCCTCTCTCTAGCCTATCCTGTGCCAGCATCAGCCCTCTTGCCCTTGAGGCCTCTGGTATGTAAAGAAGTGTTACTTGACTTTAAGCACTGTACAGACCAAGACCAAGAGTTGCCCTGACTTTCTGAGAAGGCTTTGAAGTGACTAATGGGCAGGTAGCATACATGACATGGGAACCCTAAATGAAGAAAAGACTCTCACTTCATGGGCAGGATGGAACAGCGTAACATTTCATCCCAGTACTCAGAATGGCATACACTTTAGACTGAAAATCATTTATTTCTGGTATTTGCCAACGGTATGGCTCTTATCTAGCTTAGAGGAGACTATAGGAAAGAGGGGATTGCTGTGTAAGGCTTTCTGAGCATGCCCAGAAAAAGAAAAATACCCTGTTGTCTTTGTGTTGGTACATGGGAAGTATGACAGGGCAGAACTGGTCCAGGAAGTGAGTGAGAATTTCCCAGGCAAAACAAAAAGGGAGGAAGGGGCAGAGAGAGAGGAAGCATCTGAGGGCTCTTAAATATCTGCTCTGAGTTCTCCCCTAAAGATTGTCCATGGGCCTGACTGCCTTAGAATAAGGTTTCTATTCCTCCTTGGAGAAGTGCCTCTGGAAGACAGTCCCTCAAAGGCATTAGCAGCAGCACCCTGACCCCTCCCCTTGGCAGAGTCTGAACCTTGTGGAGAGAGTGAAGTTTTGATAGGATAAGAGGCAATGTGGCCATTAAATAATTCATAGGAAAGGGGCAAGTAAAATGCAGCCAGGAGCCTGAAGCTGAATTTTCCTTTCCATTCTGAGTCTAACTCCCCAGGGCTCCCTTGGGCCACTACACACCTGGTGCACCGTGATACATGGGTGTCTATACATGTTTGTTGGGTGGATGAAATGCCAGAGCGTGAAAGAACCCCAGTAATCTTCCAAATTCTTCTGAACACCTCATTTCATAGATGTGGCTCTTCCTGGGGTTGTTGGGGTCAGAGCCTTGGCCCTGAAAGCTGTTAACAACCTAGGCTCAACCACATTCTCACGGGTCCAATAAAAGAGACAAGCAATAATGAAGAGAGGAAAGGGATATTTATTTATTCTGTCCACTTTGAAAAGAGTAATTCAGTGTCCCTGAAGTCCATGTTTGGGTCCTGACATGAGGTTTAGGTTTAAATAAAAGGCAAGAGGTGTTCATAGCTGAGCAGTCTGGGTCAGGGTGTGTCACTACCTGTCATCACTGTCTGAGTCCCAGCCTGTCCTGCCTGTGGTTGTCAGAACTGTGGGAGATCTTCTCCTGGGACCGAGGAGCCTCCCCTGACTGACAGCAGACTTCAATGTTTTCCCTTCGCCAGCCTGAGACCCCTGGGGAAATCCCAGTTTCTTGGGGCTCTTTGTTTCAACTGTCTGACAGCCAAAGGGAGGAGCCACAGGTTCTCTTGGAGCATCTTCTCTCCCACGAGAATGGTTACATGTCCTTCATGGTAGGTTCACTTCCCCGCCCGGTCCCCTCATTAACCATGTAGCATAGCTTCCTTAGAAATTCAAATTATAAAAAGAAAGAGGTAGATGAAGGATGTCATAAAACCCATCATGGCCAAGCAAGCACGGTTGGTATTCTGACATGTTTGCAGTTTTTTCCCTATGTCTAAACATGCATTTGCAGCCAGAGTTACAGATTTACAGTTTCCTGCCTTTTTCTATGCCACTAAACAGTTTCATGTTCATAAACATAATGTCAGCACCAGCGCAGTGTTCCATGGCATAGTGATACACATTTCAAAAAGTCGTTTTCCTATTTTTTAGAGCCTAGCACAATTTTAAAACTGTTTTTAAAAATTAATTTGTTTAGATTTTCAAAGTTTTAATGAACATTTATTGGTTTCTTTTTTTTTTTTTCGTTCGAGATAGAGTCTCAGTTTATAGCTCTGAGTGCCCTAGAACTCTCTATGTAGACCAGGCTGGCCCCAAATTAACAGAGATATGCCTATCTCTACCTCCTGAGTGCTGGAGTTGATGGTGTATGCCACCATGTTCAGTTTGAAAATTCATAATGGCATTGATTTTTTAAAAAAAATTATTTTCCACTCACATATTTTTTTTTCTTTCATAATGATTTATCTATGCTCTTCCCCCATTTTCCTATTGTGATGTCAACATAAATCAAGAGAGCTGCAGCTTTGTGGGCTGTGTCCTGTGCGGTAGGGATGGAAGGTGGGGAGCAACAACAGACCAACCCACAATTCAGTTGTTAAGTGGTGGGATA